TTTTTTAGTTTGTAGATAACCTTGTTTTAGGAAAATACGAGAAAAATAATTTATCTACAGATAGCGGATGAATTATTATCATATGTAAATTCTAATATTTGCTTTACTTATCACGTATTGTTCATATATAATATTTAGATCCAAATAAGAGTCTTAATATTGTTTTGAATTTCTAATTTAATATGCAAGTAGTAAGATTCTATGGCTGAAGGAATGTAGTACTTTAAAGAAATGAAAAATTTTCCTATAATAATTTACATTAAAATATTCTTATATTCTATAAAAAAAATATAGAAAAATACTGCTCCTTATTACATCTCAATATACGATTTATAGTTGCGTTCATCAATAATTTTATTGTACACTTAGAACGCCTACGTTGGTCTTTGTTCTGTAACCGTTATAGTAGAAATTTGTACGGTCAGCTTATTTTTCAGATGCTTCAGATACATAAGGACGCGACATTATAATATCTACTTTAATACTATGATATAAGGTTTTTAATCAAATGTATAAATCTTCGTATACATACCATTGGTATTCCATCGTCTGGTATACTCTTTATAACTAGTCTTTATTGATTCATTAGAATCCCATGTGTCTGGTCACGTGCGGAATTGAATCAAATAATTATCATTGAAGCTAATAGTAAATATTTCATGTATTAATTGCCGTTGAATCGTACGTTATGGAATTAAAATTACACACATCCTTTCCATATAAATGTATGAAAAAAACTCTAATATATTTCCATAGTGCTGACGATTATAAAATTCGATATGAAGATGTATAAAAATATATTATCATGAAAAATGATAGCGTCTCCGCGCAACCAAAAAATATTACGAAAATTTACTGTAAGTTGAATGTACGGGGTCATTTATATTCATAAACTTATGATCAAGATAAAAATCCATATAAATTCTTGAAAACATAAGTCATGAATAAAGATTGTATGAAATCCATAATATACTTTTTATATACTCACTGATATTACGTAAATATATATGTGCATCTTTGGGTACAGCTTATCTTTCCTAAATTTCATAATTGCACAATATTACGCAATCGACTATTTTTCTTTCCCGCTAAAATGAGAATCCTACGTACAATATCCCATAATGTTCTTGCCATAATAATGACGAGGGTTTTTGTAGAGTTTTTTCTCTTATACTGGTTGTTATCCGTTTTGAAGACCAATACAAAAGTGTTGCTTCTCTTGAATTGAAAGGATTTTCCAATATTATTCAGTAATGACTCTTAAATCGAGAGCAAAAATAAAGAATTATTACAAAATTTTGCATATACAAGATGAACCTATTCATTAAATTAGTTATATTTTTTACTTATATACCTTACACAGAAATTATGACAAAAAATTAAGACCCAAATATTATAGCGACTGGAAAAATAAAGAATAATTTTGATAATAGGTATGATATTTTTCATTAAATATCTCATAATAATAATAGAGGATATGTGTTGTGTAGTTATTGAACAATCAAATTAAGAAACGAGGCCACGGTGGGTCAGAGGGTCCTTTGTCATGTCGGTGAACTCGAAAAAATGTTTTTTGACGCTCGTGAATTGCTACAGAATGGTGTTTGTACTTGATTTAAAAAAGTATTGCCGAAATGAGTTTTTATATAAAACCTGCTACTGTTTGGAAGAGTGTTATATTTAAAACTATACGCGCTTATTAATCGCCATATCGGTAATCAAAAAGATTAAAGTCAAAAAGAAAATTAATAAAAACAATTATACAACTGTTATTTTAATCTATCTAAAAACATGTAGGGACAGCTTCATTGAGATAAACTTAATTTAACATTGCTTAAAATAACGACTCAGTAAAATGGTCTAAAACAAAACAGTGTAGTCATGTATTTAATAAAATGACAATAATTTATTGCGATATTAAATTTCTAAGTCAAACAAAACGACTTAGGAAGCCGGATGAAGTTTTGTTTCTCATTCCAAGAAACCGAATGATTAGTAAGCAGATGTGCCGCAAAATGTTTTATATTTAGTTTCACATAATATATTATGAAATTCATTCATTATTTTTACGAAAAGATATATTAAATAATATACGTAATTTTTTGTGTATTTTGTCATAAAAATTAAAAAAAATATTTTTTATTTATACAAGAAACCTTCTTTGTTATCTATGATTTAAAAAATAACGATCACGTATTCAAAATAAAACGGATTCTATTTTTGAAACGTGGTTAGCTGACAGTAGCATTTTGTTAGAACCACAACATTTTAGTTAGCACTCTGATCACGCTTTTCGTCAATTCCCGTCACAATCTGGGTTGGATTAACTGATGTTCCAAATGCCAAAAAAAAAAAGATAAAATCTAACTCGCAAAGGCCCGCTATTATATTTCATTTATGGTCAGTTTTTAAACGAACCATCGATTTCGAAGCTAGAACCCACAGCTCAACTCCGCTGCAAAGATTAATTATATTAACTATCCCTAGCCCGTGGCTTCCATATTTTTCAATATTTCACAATCTAATCGTATCAATTATCCAATTTTGTTGCAGTTAAAAGAATCGTTAAATGCAATTTACAGGGAAAAAACATATTTCTGACAAAAATAATCATATAAATGTCATATCCAGATTATACTTTTGACATTACAAACAATTTAATTTTAATTCATCCAAAAAAATATTTAAATGTACTTTACGAATACTTATATTATTGGGCACTATCATGAAGTTTACGAAGAGTAGTCTTAGTTTATAATTTCTCAAAATATGATAAATTCAAATAAACAATAATCAATATTATTACTGAAGTGTTATAAAATTACACAATTTTTTTTAAACCTCTACTTTATCTATAGCTTCAAAATCTATCGAGATATATTTGAAATAAGTAAATTAATCTATAAACGAGTATAATATTGTCAAGATTATGCATTTCATGATAGCTTTAGTGATACATTCTAAAGCAATGACATTACGAAGTTGTTTCTTACGTAACTAGTATCCATATAATAATTTGTTTAACTTTTGATATTTTTTTTTCTGTTGCTTAATGACTTTATTTTATATTGAGGTGATTAGATTTAGTGCTTGTAATGGTATTATTTAAGTATATTGCTTTTCTAAGTATTATAGGTGTATGATTTTGATTCTCGTTTTCGCTTGTTGTGAGCAAGTAATTTTTTGAATATTTATATTCGAATTGATTGAGAATCTATGTGAATGCCTAACATGATAGCTTCGTACTAAGATTTAAAAGGTTATTTAAAAGTCATACTGTGCTCTTTAGCGACATTAAGATAGACTAAGAATTGGCAAAAATTATATATGCTTCAGTTACGTAGGTAATAATTGTGCTTCACAGAACTAAACTGTTCCCTGAAAAGCGTCATTTCAAATGTACGTTATTAATGAAGTTTGAGATTGTTAAGAGATTGTAAACAGTCAGTTAAGTGGCAGCGTTTGAGGTTATGTAATCAGCATCGTTAATTTACAAACTCTCGTTTTATTACAATTACTTTGGGTTTTGGAAGGATATTATGCAGGAAATTGTGTTGCACTTTGATTGGACTATCGTGATGCTGAATGAGAATAAAAACGAATAGTAAATAAATAGCGTTTTTTATTGGCATCGAAAAAGCTTCGAATAGCCATCTAGCTTTGTGATTTTTAAATGGTTACATACATTTGTATCAATCAATTTAAAAAATATATATACAAAAACGTCAACCATTTCAATCCGGTGCTTATGGTTTTGAACACCAAAACACTTTAAACTGCAGACCAGTGAAATATTCACACGATTAAAACCTGACACTTCTATTCGTGGTTTTCAATATGCAACATATTTTTAATACAATCAATTGAAAGAACGATACGTCAAAACAGATGAGCCAGATATTTACCGAATAAAACCTTTTTTGTATGTTATTTTTATGAAATTGAAAGAGGATTTTGGATTCGATTCAAAATATAATGATACAAGTAGATTGTTTTTTTTTTAAATCGTGAATGTCGAATCTTCGATGGTATATTTTTAAACTCTGATGTACTTTTAAATTGAGTTTTTTCCAACATGATACATATAAAATTGTGAAAATAGTAATCGCATAATCATTCTTTATAATATGTAATGACGCCGTTAAAAATATGTTTTATCATTTATTAAGTTACTTACATTTAATCTAGCAATATGTAGTGTTTTTAATAGGTCTATAGAACAAAACACTTCGAACTTCACAACTGAAATACAAACAAGACACCAAGAGTGAAACCATTAAGATATGCAGATATGAAACTCAAGAAGTCTCTCAAGACAATAATCTAATCTTATCACATGTTATTGACATTGGACAAGACCTCATAATCTAAATTTAGTGTAATAAGGTAATAAAATATATAAAATTAATAGGAACTTAATCAATAAAATACAAAAAACAAGGAAAATTACAAATACAATTGACTAAAAAAAACGAGCATCGAAAAATGGCTTATCATTATTTTTTCTTTTATTGTAACAATTTTGTCAGAAATAATATTACTCCGAGGATTTATTTATTATGTTCCCAACTTATAAATAATATTGAAGTTTCTATTCGTACATAAATATATATACGGTACCTACACCAAAATAACACACAATACACAATTAAATTGGGTTTTCCTCGTCTATGATTTAAAAAAAACCCTTTTGTTATATGTAGTTAAATGCAAGCGTCATTAAGATGTTGAAGTATTGGCTCGGACTCACGATATCGGCTGATTCGTCAGCTCTATTCTATTAAAAAGACCATCGGAACACTATAAACACCTTAGAATTTAGGCTGGAGACTGTCGTTCATAAAGGAGGATGTTCTGCCATCAACATCGAGCTGGGAAATATAGTGGCTGGGTGCAAAGAGGAGAGCTCCCTTTGGTCGAGCGTCCCAATTGGGAGTTGTAAAAATTTGTCCAGTTCGTGGCAGTTACAGATAGGGGTTGTCGTCTACAAATGTGGTGGTTTATGCCATGTGGCCTAAGCGTATTGCCCAGTCACTGGACATAAATTGCCGGTAGTAAGACCATTGCTTTTTCTGTTCAGATGCGACAAACTGGTACACGAGATGTCGGACTGCGAGACGGTTCCAAGCTGTTTTGGCGAGCGAGCTGTGTCGGAGGGAAGCAAAATGCTTCTGCAAACCTCTAGAAGTAACGAGAAGAGCAGCAACACCTTTATCACTTGGTAGATATCTGATATCAATCAGAACGCTAGAAAACCGTGCACGGTGTGGTCGTTAAACATCTCCCGGGAGAGCATAACAACTTGTAGTGGCTTCTAAATATTATCAGTAGCATGCCAGTTCTACGTCTTATTAACGGTGAGAGAAATAAAGTCCCATTAAGATGTGCCTTAGCCATTGTCTGGAACATAGAGGAGGGGAGCTCTTTTCAAGGTTTCTAAAATTCTCCCGGTCTGCTGAGTAAGGCCGTTGTGGCCTTTTAGCGGGTTTGTCCACAACTTTGCCAGATGAGTCCAATCTTCGCTTTCTTCCCGCAAAAAGATAAGCGTTATACATTTACCAATGTACAAAAAAGAGTCGAACGTGATAAAAGTTACTTTGTATAAAAATCACACGGTTGTGACGTGTAACAAATCATTCCTAATTTATCTCTAAAAACTACGATTAAGAATATCTCCCTATGACTGAATTTATCATTTATCTTATGTTATTGAGAAGTGGTGATCTGATAGTCTATACCTTGACAACCCGACAAGTTTATATCTTTGTTTATAAATATAGATTTTTTTTCTTAAAAATTATTATGAAGTAGCTAACTTTTTTTAAAAAAAGAGAATAAGAGGACTTTTTTCTTAGTAATTAAAAAATGATTTAAATCAGATCAGGAAAAACAAACAGCATTGAAGCCTTTATTTATTTATAATATAGAAATATCTAGTGTATATAACAACTTGCAACTTTGAGCGTAAAGATATTTGTGCACCTTATTTTATATTTCAAGTCTATTAAATGGAAACAAAGTCAAGTGGAACTTGCTCTAAATTTCATTACAAAGTAGCAGACAAGTTTAGGAACGTTCCTAACCTAATATTGTGACAATGTCGCGCTTCTAGACATTTTCAAGACTTCCCTTACTTGAACACGTCGGGCTTGAATAGTGCTGAAACGAAAAATAGCTTTGCAAGAACTTGATTTTAAAATCCTTAAAGATTAAATCTATCTCAATTTCGTTTTTTGATGTTGAGATAACATTTCTGGTTGAATTATAAAACTATTAACAGATTTACAAACTCGAAACAGTTGGTTGTGTTAAATTTGTATATTATGTTCGAAATTATCTACTAATTTTCTTTTAACACCGTACTTCCGTAGTCCTTAATTTGATACATTGATACATTCAACATTTATCAACATGTTTGTGTTTCCATTCCCATAAGGTTATAATAATAAGGAACTCAAAATTGTTCGTTTTTGTTGGTAAGCTATATCTTGATAAGGCTTTCTACGTGATAACGTCAACTTAAGATTAACATCCGGCTTCAATCTAAACGAAACTTTAGAGTAATAACAAAGATAAATAAATAGATTAGGTAGTCGATGAATGCTTGCTTTTTCCTCGTATCATACTTCTGATACAAGGAAGAAATGATGACAAGTCAATTCGTTAAACACCATTTTCAAGTCACGATGGAAGTAGTTACTGGGGGGAGGAAAAAGACTTATGTCTTTACACAGATTATTATCTTTAAAAACACTCTACATTCTTCAATCACTTTAAACACTATCTACTTACATATCAATTTCTATAACACTTTATGGAGTGCATTGTATTAATTATGTTGTTGTGCAATCATCAAATTACATATACCTATAAAATTTAAACGCTCCGAAAAATATATTTTACTTCGCTGAATAATAAATAAAAACGTGAATCTGCGAAACTAAAATATTATTAGTTATTACATTTTTAACATCTTGTTACTTGTATTGCTAAGCAAACGTAGTGATTTTAACTTAAGGACAAGATATTTCTTTTCCTTTCAGCGCTACATCTCGATTTTTCATTCAGTGAATTGCGATTTATTATTTTTAAAATTTTCATAATCTAGTAATACTTTCACATTCTTTTAAGTTATACCTGTAACATTGTTACTTACCTTATTACAGTTCAACTGCATTAAATTATATTTGTTTACGAAGTGAATAAGATTTAGGGAAATTAAATTTATTATAAGAGCGGTAAAAAATCTAAAAGTGGAAAAAGCCGCGTTCGAATGCTAGTATCAAATAATTATCAATATATAAATACCTAGCTAGTATAAAATAACATTTCTCAAATTATTAGTATTGTGAAAAAATATAAAAATGTGGCCATCCGTCCCTATTACAATAAAGAACCTTAAAAAGTTTTTAATGAACATCGAACGATTCGGAATTCAACTGGATTGTATCACTGGCATACTTTATTGTAATTGTTATCCGAAAACTCTTTTGGTCTCTATATAAAATATTTCGTATAAAGGGAAACAGCCCGAAGCGAAGGAAACAAATTTGAAACAGAGAAATTAATTATCAATATTAAATTGTATAAAAGAAATATATCATCCATGTCAATATATTTTTATTTTAGTTGAACCCTTTTGAATGCCAATAGTACTGTTTTCAGAACAACAAAAAGCATACATATAATCTCTCCAGGATAATAAAAACTGGTAAAACAAAAACTGGTTTTCTTAACAAGTTCTATAAATAAGAATATAAAAATAATTCTAGATCCAGATGGTCTCCATAGCTAAATCAAGAAAGTTGAGCAGATATTTTTCCAAAAAGTTCAGCTAATATTTTTCCAGAAAGTTCGGCTAATATTTGACATTCTTTTGTTTCCGTGACCGTAAAGTTACGATAATAATGTAGGTACTGCCTATGTTCTTGGATATATTTATGAAATACATAAATATATCCAAGAACCTATAAAACAAATGGATTAAAAAAGTACCTTAAAAACAGTTAAATAAGGTTTAAAAAATCCTTGACAGAGAAATTTTAATAAAAAACAGTTTTAGAATAAAATTTTGAAGAACATGCAATTATAAATGCGTAGAGTAGAGGGTAAATGACAACATCATGTATTCCACTAATAGTTTAAGCGTTAAAACTTATTTTATGAAAAACCATAATATAAATACTATTAATATTAAAAGTTAGTTTAAATTAAAGTGTAATATGAAAAATTGGTTCAGTGATTTTGTTCTAACTTCTACACTTTTAATTACATTTCAACTAATTGAGCTTGAAATAAATATTGTTTAGTCAACTGTAAGAACACATTTTTCATGAACCAACATGGTAGAGTCTTCTTTGTAGATATTCATGGTAGAGGATTCTCTAGCGATGTCCCCGCAATCTTCAGATCATACTTCCACTTGGACAGTGAATAGTACTATGTCGTTGGCTTTTAATTAGCTCGATAACACATCTCAAACTTACATTTATTCACTTCTCAGCCTCACAAAATTGAAAGAGTACAAAAAGAAAGTAAGGTTAAATAGCGGGCGCACTTCCTCAATACATCTTCTTCTACCTGGCAATTTCCCACCTTTAGCCAGGGTCTGCCTTACATGTTGTGAATAGTTTTAGCTAATTGTTTTACGACCGGCCGCCTGCCTGACATCAACCCTCTTTTGGGAATCAGCATTAATCAGTGATGTCTAAATTATCTTAGGAAGTAATAATAGTATAATTCGTAAAAATCACATTGGTACTTGCCCGGGCCAGGATCGAACCCGCGCCCTCGTGTATGAGAGGCGGGCCTCTTAAACACTAGGCCATCACTGACTTGCACTTCTTCAATACATATGTCTCTATAAGTGCATCTCACTAACATCGAAGGTGTGTAATCTTTCAACAGTTCTTTGCCATTGACTAATAAGCCATACTTGCTTTTTTTGGTGAACACACAGATTCCATGGCCTACAGACGTTCCTTGCCTCACATGCTATGTATAAATTCGAAATATGTGTCTATATTTGCAATGACACTTGCTATCAGCCTCTCTTTCACCTCAAAAAACCCCAAAATTTCAACAGTCAACGGGAAATGACTTGCTGTTTTGAACGTATCAGTTATCACTGAGAATACTTCAGCATTTATTATAAGTGATCTTAATACACGACTTTATTGACCACCATACCAGGTTCAATATAACCTGGCTGATATTGATGATGTTGAGGATGTCTACTTCATAGATCTCAAAGTCCTCGAATGGAAATGTAAAACGGGAAAACAGACTCCTGCAAGTGCCAGCGACTTGATGATTGCGGCGGGATCTCTGTTTGAAAGGTACAAGATCAGGTGTTGAGGCCGAAGCCTGATGTCCAGTAAGCAGTAGACCTATGCCATTCACCTGACCTGATGATAAATAGAAGTGTCGTACCACGTTTTACTAATATGAGATTTAAGTAATCATTCGACTCAGCCACAACATAAAGCATTCATTTAGGTACTTAGTCTAAATTTAGGTGTCGGTTTATAATTATTTTGCTAAGCTTTTCAGTTTAAAGGTTTTTGATACCTTTTAAAGATGTACAGAATTTCAAGTAATTTATAAAACTAGAATAAAACCAAGAATGTAGGCAGTAGGTAGATGAGGCTAAGTTATAACTAAACACAAATAAAGACTAATAAGGATATGTGTACTGTAAATTATACTCTCCGGTTGTATATCTTTTTTTTTAAATGGTGCAATAAATTTCTTATAATTATGGTGCAATAGAAGATATGCAAATTTGTGTTATTTAAGTGTTTTTGTAAAATGACGAGGGATAATTTCTAGGCCAGCGGAATATTTTACGTGATTTTTAAGATAGTAGCCATTTTAAACTAGCATAAATCTAAAAATTCATATCTTCACTTCTAAAGGCAAATAAAACTTGTGCACGATGCCATAACAGTAAATATAATGGGAAAATCGCGTGCTTTAATCCATCAAACTCATTCAAGCGTATTTCAATATAAACATACATCTTAATTCTTTAAATACTACCTATGTAGAGATATATTTTTTAATTAAAAGGTTTATTGTCTCAAGGTTAATTTCATATAGGACATTGTAAATTGCAAGAAGATCTAAAAAATATATATATAAAAATATACGTATTTTTTCTAAGATTATAATCTAACAAGTGATATACATTTATTATTTGAATCGATAAGTATTTATATGTAGTTCTCGAAGTTTTAATAACGTGCTCATTATTTTACCTTATCGGAATTCTGGAGTGCCTTTCATACAATGTTGGGCATTTATGCAAAAATAGTCTTTTTATACCTTTATAATTACATACGTAATGCTTATTACTTAATATTTACATAAAGAAATATATACCTTAAATAAAAAAATATGTTAACGTTTTATCCAAAATGTCGCATCTAAGAGGTCGTATATTTTTTATGAACAAAATTTGAAACCGTGTGTGAATAAAAAAGTAGGGTGAGGTGGCATTAAATATAGAATATATTTTTAAAGGAAGAATATTGTTACATTTGTCTGTGCCTCGTGACATTTCAAGCTGAACGATTATCAACTGTCACTGTCATTTTATCCACAATCTAGTATCAATCATATTGGTCGTGAGATTACGATGATTGAAGCCAATATTTTCTTTTAAATATTCATAATTACATGTTATGTCCATGTTCGAAAACGCAATATTTAATTCCACCCTTTACGAAGCTCTGTACCTTCAGATTGAAGGTACTTTAGGCTTCGCTAGAGATTTCTTCCATTCTTGCGTGTCATCTCTACCTTTAGAAAATTTGCCGAAAACAATCGTTAATATCGGCGAGCTATCTTTATACGAAGAGATAGCTGAAATATTTTACTTCAACGAGTTCCAGTGTTTATTGTTGAAGACGTTTTCCTTAATTCTACTGTTTACATTACTATTGATTTTCATTTCTTGGAGGGTGTACGGCAATCGTATATCCGAACGGTTTATGAGGCCGGGTGAGTTTCCAATATTTCTACTGTACAATTTGTCTAATAAAAACAACAACAAATCATCCCAAAAACTTTGCAGTGCGCATATTTTTATCGTGCAAATATTTTACGACAATTTCTTCTAAGATTCGTAACTTTACGTCATCTCTAAAAGTATTGATCCGGCATTACTTCGTATACTAAACATATTTCGCCATAATATGTTCTAATCTTATTTTTTTTTATATACAGCCACATCAGCCACAATAGAACAACTGAAAGAAAGTGTATCAAAGTTAAAATTGCCTAAAGAACACACACCTAGAATATAACAATGGCTGACAAAATAAAGAAGTTTTTTCAAAAGAAGAAAATTGATGCTAAGTTCAAATTAGCTGGACCTGGGCATAAATTAACTGAATCATCTCAATCAAGCCAGTCTTCACTATTAAGAAAAGAAGTTCCTACAGTAAAAAGATCAGGGCTGTCACAAGAAAGTAAAGTAGCGGCTGAGGCTGCTTTGGCAAGATTACAACAAAAAAGAGACAACCCTTCCTTTAACACATCTTTGGCTGCTATAAAGGTATGAAACTTTTTTTGGAAATAACTTTAAAATTACTTATAAATAATATTTATAATGTTCTTACAACTTCAAGGCTCAAGTGAAGAAAGAATTGGAGAATGAAGTAGCAGAATCTTCAAAAGAACCAATGCAAAGGAAAGAAACTACCGAAGTTATTGAAGACATTCCTAAAAACTTGGCTGCGTCTGGTGTATACTTTAAGTAAGTAGATAATAGTATTATTATCATTTTTATTTTTTTTTAAATTCTCAATACATTCAAAATCTATAATTTCATCCATGGCAACTGTATGACTTCATTTGTAGATAGAAATGTATTACAAGCAAAATTTATAAATAATGTCCACTGAAATAAAATATAAAGTTACCAATGGGCTGAATCACTTACACTCTTGACTCGATAGAAATAAAACTTTTGAGCTGTGCACCATATGGAACTACAGATAATTTGGATACAAATTATTAACAATGTGTTATTCCAGTATATAAACTTTATTCATGGAAAATTTCATTAAAATCGGTCTATCTATCTGTTATAATTTTAGGACAGAATGGTTTGTCAGTTAACTTCAATTGTTAAGGACTAATTCTCTTTAGACTTTTCACATCTCATCTAAGCAAGACACTTTAAGAGCTTTGCTATACATCGGTAAAAATAGCCATATTTTGATTCATAACAGTTTTCTTAAAAAAAATTAAAAATTAATGTGAGCTACTCATTACTAGAGGAATTTCTATTTTGACAATAGTAAATATTTTTCTCTGTTTTATATGATCATGATCAATAATGATTAACTTTATATTAAATTATTATTATTTTTTAATGTAATTAATTTTTCAGATGTCCTATAATAAGCAATGATATTCTGTCTCGGGATGAATGGAAGAAAAATATTAAGACTTTTTTGTATGAACAATTGGAAGAAGAAAGAGGTCTAACTGCATGTCTTATAATACAGTCCTGTAATAGCAACAGAGAAAAGGTAACTTGTGAAAACTGTAACTGTAATTACTATACATTGTAAGAAACTGAAGCTATTCTTACTGTATACTATAGAAAACTGTAACTACACTTACTACATAGAGGACAAAACTGTAACTATAATATTAGCTTTATAATATAAAAGCTAGTTATAGTTGGTATTGCTATCATGTTTTGTTATAGGTCTTGAAATTAAGTTACCAATCAAAAATATAATTATAAGAGATCAATAGTTCAGTTCAATTAGTGTACTATTTATAATTAATGTGTTCTCAAATTTTTTTTAATTTTCTTCAAAATTAATTCAATATAAGGCTTTTTAATCATTTTAGAATTTAATCTTATAATTTTATATTTTCAGGTTGATATATGTGTTGAAACTCTATGCAAGTATTTAGAAAACATTGTGACACATCCCGATGATGAAAAATACCAGAAGATTCGAATGAGCAATAGGTAACATAACATTTATGTGATTTTTCTAACATATAAGTTATTTACATCTTCATATCATAAGTACTGGTCCAATGTTACAAAAATAAGCATATTGAAGTAATATATTATTTGTTTTATGTACATAAATTATAATTAAATACAACCACATAGTTTTTGAAGTAAGTTAAAATTTATGTTTTTTTTTATAAATTTCCAGAGCATTTTGTGAAAGAGTCCAACCCATTGAAGGTTCAATGGAATTATTATTGGCAGCAGGATTCATGCAGGATAAACTATTAAATAATGAAGGCAATGAAGAAGATTTTTTAGTTTTTAAAAAGGAAAATATTCCTTCTGTTGAAAGCTTGACTGTGAGTTAAAATCTACTCTACTACTACTTAATCTACTTTTAAAATCTGACATAAAGATTGATGTTAATATCTGTGTTTGTGTGTATGTGTTTGTATATATATTTGTTTCTGGCTGCATCAGTTTAATTCTCAAATGGATAAACCAACTTCAATGCGGTATTTTTTCCATTTGGAAATTTCCTAGCTATGGTTCCTTATTTGTTTGGTTGTGTAGTACTTTACTTGGTTGGTATGGTTAAATAATATGATGTGAAGTAAAATGTATGTAGATCACTTAATTATTATTAAGTACTGTTATAGTCTTGCTACTCTTCACAATACATATATTATGAATGGATCATGGTTTTTGGATACAATTTACAACACTAACAATGTCTTGTTAATAGGGCTTACAGTGTGAGCTCCTTACAATGATTATTATCATTGAAAAGAGTAAAGCATTTTTGCTCTTTCATTCTTTATTCATTTCTTAATCAAGTAACTCGATTAAGTATGTAATCATAAACATTTTTGGTAAAATATAATAGTTTTTGAGTTTAAAAATATTTAATTAAAAACTATAAATTCACCAATTGCTAAAAAATTCATATATAAACATATACATTTCAGATGTTAATAGATGCTTTACGTACATCGGAACCAATTCCATTGGAACTTGACAGGAATCTCCAAGTATTGTTACCTTCTCAAGCAGCCAATAAAGTACAATTACCGAGTTCATTCTACGCGCTTAGTCCAGAAGAAATTAAGAGGGAACAACAATTGAGGTAAAAATACATGTACAAGTTTTTATGCTTAGGAGAAAGGCATGAAATTCAATTATTTTAAATGAAATCATTCTTAAAATGTCATTGTAACGTCTTTTTATTGAATCTTTAAATTTTTTCCATTATATACTGTCTATAAACTTTTTATTTGTAATATTACTGAAGTAATATTTAACGTCACATATTTTTTATTATTGACAGTGTTATTGTACTTAATAAGTATTAGTCAAATTTCTATTTACTATTTTTATATCTAATTTTCAAATTACAGAGCCGAAGCCATAGAAAGAAGTCAAATGTTACGAACTAAAGCGATGAGGGAAAAGGACGAATTACGTGAAATGAGAAAATATAAATTTGCGATTATAAGAGTGCGTTTCCCTGACGGCATTTTGTTGCAAGTGAGATATTTTATTATATACTATTAATTAATTATACTTAATGCACATAGTAAGAAATATGCTTATGGGTAGCAATCAGTTTATTGAATCTTTCCAAAAAAGATTTCATTATAGGGATTAAAATCGAATTTTAAATTATTGTAACATTAAGAAGATATTAATTTATTGTCGTGTTATGATAAAAGAACTTAGGTACAAAAATTATTTACTTAATATGTACATGAATTCTATAAAAAAATATTTAAATTTCAGGGTACATTTTCCGTGTACGAGCGTTATAGTGAAATACATGAATTCGTTCAAGAAAATTTGGAACACAACGGCCTTCCATTCATACTGAACACTCCAACGGGCCACAAAATAATATATGAAGAAGATGCGAATAAAACTCTTATAGACCTTAGACTTGTACCGACAACTATGCTCACATTCGCTTGGCACAGTTCAGTGATAGACGAAATCAATAACAGCCCTAATAAAGACGTTTATTTGAAGCCAGAAGTAATGGTCCTGGTACAAGAAATTTAAATATTCGCAGCAAATTTAGTATCAAAATTAACGAATAACATTTATGTTCCACTATTATTTTAATAAGACTTTATATGCTTTAAGACTGCCTTCAATAACTGTTTAAAATGTCACCTAATATACACATATAGCTTAGTAAGCAATGCCTTCATAATGAGACTCATATTGTAGCAATATTTATAATAATGCTTCTGGTAACATAAATTTTATATGAACAAGGAATTTGAATGATATAAATGTACAAAGAAAATTGTGTTACAGTGTATAAAGTCACTTTACAATAACCAATCATAGTTTATTAAAGGGCAATTGTTAATGTTATATAACTTTAAATAAACATTTAGAAAAAATAGTTAACTAAATAACCCACTTATGGTAATTGTGATATAAAAACAATAGACTCGATTTTTTAGCTGATTATTAGTCACACTGTTTTAATAGAGTATAATTTTTATATTAATAAAGCACAATAATTCCACTTCTCACATTTTCTCTTCGTTTTTTTTCAAAACTATTCACGTTTTTACAAATCATTATAGAATTGTTAGATATTTTTCAATAGTAACAGATTCAAAGCAATACAATATAATGCAATGCCTTAGGAAAAGTTCAAAACGACTTTACATAGTTATTTTTGACATAACATTATAATTTTATATTCGCCGTAAGTTATTTATATTTTTATGTATATGCGGTTTATATGTAATAAATTTAAATAATGTTAATCATTGTTTTATTTTTACCTGAACAAATATTTACCTTTAATTCGACGTTATAAATGTTCTGTGAGACTTATTTTTTAGTAATATCAATAAATATATTATCATATAATCTTAAGGCTCTAGGCAGACCCTGGCTATAGCTGGGAAATTGCCAGGTAGAAGAAGATAATCTTAAGGCTCTTTTTTTATTAACAAGAACAAATCTTGGAAGTCAAAGTTGTACATAAAACTTTAGAAGTCATATGATTACTTTGAATTTAATAAAAAAATATTAACAATTTTAAGATTAAACGAAGTTTCAGTTGGGAGGTAATATATATATGGGAAATAAAACCATAATAAATTAAAATCATTTATTAATAACAAAAATCAAGCCATTACGTCTCTTGCGGTTTGCTCGGGTAGTTTATTTTCTATGGTGACCGATTTAGTACAATCTTCTGTTTTATAAATACCCACTAGGCGATTAGAAACTTCGAACATATTGTACCGAAGAGATATTATAATAAACTGAGCATTCTTTGTCCTTTCCTGGAAACATTAGTTTTATATTTAACAGCTAGTTATTTTTATGTTGTATACATACTGAACAAGACCAAGTTTTTGACCCAAATCGAATTTCCGTCATATATGGGGTTTTAGTAACATTATATGACATTTGGTATTTATTTGAATATCCTTACTTATCTAACATCATGTAATTCCATCTACATATAAATGGTTTACGTATAATTTCATCATTAACTTATTAGATGTCAATTATTTATGATGTTAAGTCCTCTTATACAGGATGACTGGTGAATTACTATCGATACTTGAGGACGTGATATTTGACGATCATATATGACAAAATAAAAATTAATATAACATAAATATTAATAAACTTCTAAGTAAAGTTAACCAAAAGTTATGTTATTAATTACGCATCGTGTGAACACCCTACAGATTAGGTATACACACACACACACATACGCGTGCGGGAGCGTGTTGTTGTATCAGCACGCCGCCGCACGCGTCCACACTTGGAACACTTGGAACGTGTCCACATTCTATTTATTTATACGGGAATTTGGTGAAAAATTAAGTACCTATTTTTTTTACATAATTCGAATGAGAATCATGTACCGAGTATTCTCCTTAAATATTGATAGTAATTCACCAGTCACCCTGTATAGTAAATAGTTATTTATAAATACATTAACAATACTTACTTTAATATAATTAGCGACTATAGACACGTTTTTAAAGTCCAACGCCGCGTCTATTTCGTCCATAACATATAAAGGTGTGGGTTTGTAGTAATGTAAAGCGAACACTAGCGCCAATGATGATAATGTTTTCTCACCACCGGAGAGATTTGATATGTTCTTCCAAGATTTATTTGGGGGTCGAACACTGTAATTATATTGAATAGAAATAATTAAGATGCTTCTAAGATGAAATATGAGTATAAAATCTTAAACTGAATTATAAAACATAACTTCAAGGCATATTTATAAAATGTTTAAGGTCTTTGAAGTGAGATAATTGTCTTCTGGTACCTATGAAAAGACAATATATATTTGCTTTGCTAATAAATAACACAATTTATAATTAAACTACTAAATAACACAATTTATAAATAGAACAAATAAATAACAATTTACCTGAATATAATTCCTTCAGTGAATGGATCCAAAGAGTCAACAAGTTCTAACTCTGCATCACCCCCCAATGTAATCATCTGATACATTTCTTTTAATTTCGTTGTTATTGTGCTAAATCCTATAAAATAAAAACAACATAATCAACATCAATAATATTTATTGTATACATTATTATAATTTTAAATTCCAGATATAACTGACTAAGGTTATGTGTATTGTTAATAGTAATTATTATTTATAAAAAATTTAAATATGGTGTACTTTACAATTGTAAGCTCCGGTTATTTTTATTCTGATATTTATTGAGAATTTTTTAATAGTAAACTAGCGCCCTCTGCATGATAGTGTAACCTTACCGTCACCTAAATATCATAAATAGGATGTAAGTACTGAACTTGGGATTCTGTTAAAACTTGTGGAGTATTAAATATCTTAGTGACAATACTGTCTCAACTTATTCCTTACAATATATAAGAGAATATAATAATATTCACAAAACAGCATTGATTATGTTTATATGTATAAAAATTATGAATGCTGTTAAATTATATGTTTAAAAACATAGTAACTTATTTCGTTTAAATAACATTGAGGGCTATGTCATATTTATATTAAAAATTGTATGTATATTAACATATTATATATAAAATTCATACCACATAAGAAATCAGTAGTCCGTTTCTTTTTCAGCTGATCATATAATGCTCTCATCTCATTTCTTTTGTTTGTTATATCTTCTAGTTCAGAAGCTCGCTTCAAATACAGTTCCTCTTTAACACGGTAATCCTGGAATTTATTAATCATATATTTTATATAAATTCTCTCCATCCTCTTACAATAAATGATGACTTGTTTGTTCACTTTTACGCGGGAAAGTATATTTTCGACATGACTTGTGTCGCTATAAATTGAATTTAATTTATTCTTAAGGTTTTGTTTTATGATAATAATTAGTTAGTTCCAGTTAAGGTTTTATTACTTATTTAAAAGTACTGGCTTTATAAGAAAACTATTTTTTTTTTATTATTTTGTTAGAATCCTAAATATGTATAATATATATACCTGTATGGCTTGTAAATTAGGTTTATTCTCCCCTATCCTAGCTTTCTGAGCAGTTAGTCTATTTCTCAATTCATCAACCGACGTTTCATCCAATTCATTCGGAGTGTGTTTCTGTAAGGGCTCAGGTCTTTCTATACCTGGTATTTCTATTCCCGGGTCTTCTAGCTTAAGTGATGTTAGCTGAAAATTACAATAAAATATTATATGTATATTGCCGCGACTTTGTCTGCCTGGAGTTTCGAATTTTATCTAGAGATAGAAGTATACATAAAAAGAATATAAGGAAATTCAATGGCAGCGTCATTTACATATGTTACTTGAGTGCATACAAAATATTTGTTTCTATTTGTTCCCGTGCAAACACATGGAATTTCTCAATAAATAAGAATCTATTCTGATTTCTACATAACATCAGTTGTTTTCATTCAATTTTATCAAAATACAATCAATAGGTTTTCCTTTACAGATATAATCAATTATTTTACTGCTATAATATTATCCTTCCAAAGTTTCTCTTTAGGACATGTTTAAGTGGCTTAATAAATAAATATATATATTAACAAACAAACCTCTTTCTCCCACAACGGTATCTTTGTAGTACAATCTTGTACGGATTTTTCCATTTTGTTGACCGCATTATTTGCTTCCAATCTTTCACTTTTCATTTTATTTTCTTTGGACTGAAGTTTTGATATTTCTTGCCTCAGACCAGAAAATTCACTGGTACCTTCTGTTATTTGTTCTTCCAACTGGTAAATTATAATAAAATATATTATATAATATATAATTTTTATTACATATGTACTATACGTACAGCTGCTGAATTTTATATCGTACGTCGATGCACCAATCCGTATTTACTTATTTAGATAAAGATTATTAACCGGTATAAGTAATATTATCATTTAACTTATCACTTTTGTCTCAGCTTTAGTTAGGAAAACACGTTATTAATATTGTTAATAAAAAAGTTAATAACAATTTCTAAAGAATTTCGTTTTACCATCTTCGAATAGTATAATTTATATAGCAATAAACATTCAAGAATAATTGTAGCCTACGTCGTTCCTAACTATCAGAGTTTCGACTAGTGAGAGTTAATTCAAAACCAGAGCAAATATATCAGAGATTAACCGATACAAACAGACAGACAGACAATACATGTACACACAATATACAGGGTGTATGAAAAACTGTGTCAACCCTCTTAACTACGTTATCAGTATCGAAAATGTAACACAATAAAACAACTTACATTTACAAACTCTTCAATAAAAATAATAAAATTAAATATTAAATGATTATTATATGTAGAGTAACAAAATGTTTGTAAACCCTGGTATAACACGATGACACGCAATGACGTCATCACAGCTGCTGCGCTACTAATGACGACCTTGAAGTTACTTTCACATTATTGAAAATATCGATATTTAAAAAATCATAACAATAAATAAATATTTAATATTCATATTATTTCGATACTTAGTTTGATATATCAAACATTAATATTATGTTTGATGGTAAAACATCATTTTTAACAGAAATAGATTAACGATTTATCCTAACAATACAACATATGTAGTTAATTTACCTGAACAAGTTTCAAATTATAATATTTATTATTAATAAAAGTTATTTTAAATGAAATTATTTTAATGTGAAAAGCATAACTATTTATAGCAATATTGAAAATGTCGATAGAATATTTATCGATATAACTAATTTTTACACTTTCAAATCTCTATTCGAACAAGTAACAGAATAGTAATAATAACGCCGGCGGCCCGGCGCCTGCGGTCAATGGTCACGCATGCGCCGTAGCGACTATACGGTGTCTTGACCTTGTATGAGTCAGATGTTTGAAACATTCTTTCGAAAAATGTCGATTTAAAACTTACTTAGCCTATGCACTGTAAGTGACTTCTGCTTGATTTTTTTTAAGTTATACTATTTTTTATAATAAGCTTATACTTATATGTATGCCTTCAAGGGTTGACACAGTTTTTCATACACCCTGTATGTCAACATATTAGCTTTTAACAATTGACCATCTACTACAATTCAGTGGTATGGTTACCTGCAGTTTTATGGTTTAAAACAAAAAATAACTAGTTTTCTATACAAAAAGAGCAAAAACGAAACAAAATTGAGATGTAAAACATAAAAAAGTAGACCATTGGCAAAAAAAATCGTGATTTTTATAAAAGAAAATCAAAGGCCTATTATTTGAGAATGGTTAAGTTTTTAATGCAAAGTATTATTTGTAAAAGGATTAAAACTGTAACCTTATATATTAACTATAATATTATATTTATTGTTCATACCTCATCAAAGTCCTTCTGTAACTTAGCTGAGTCAAGTGTGAGTTGTTTCTTTTGATTGTTAAGATTTTCCAAATTCTTTTCAGTTTCTTTCAAATCGGCTTCCATTTGATTTATTTTGTCTTTAGATTTCTTTGCGTTGCTGTAAAATAAGAATAATTATTTATGCATAGTTATTGTAAAATTATATATAGTCGGCTATAGATAGTGCAAGTCGGCGCACCTACCATTGGATGGTTCCACGTATCTTTATTGAAAGCAGATTATCAGAACATAGCTTAAGCGGAAATATTTTCTATATTTACGACTTTTAAGGTTTTTTTTTTCACAATTAGTACTAAATTAAACACTAAATAATTACTAATTGTGACAAAAGTACCGTAAAAGTCCGTTATATTCAAAATATTTGATAATCTGCTTAAAATGTAGATACGCGGAATCATCCAATGGTGGTTACGCGGACTTGCACTATCCCCGAAGATATGTATGTATAATAATAAATACCGTATACTAGTACTAATGGCCACCCGTAGTTTAGTCATTTCATTGGATATCTTATTAATTTTATTCGTCAGTTCGTCGACATTTTTCTGCAGATCTCTTACTTTGTTTCCAGCTACCAACGCTATTTGAGAATCCACGCCGTGTACTTCTTTTTCTATCTGTTATAATAAAAAATATACATATGAAAAAAATTAATTAATTAATATCGTATATCCCTTCGCTTAAATATTAATCAATTACAGTTAATTATAATTTATAGAGAAATTTGATGGTCGTTTTAACGGAAAAACTTTAAAAGATCTCGTATATTAATAGAATAGTTTTTATATGCCACTTAGTAAAATTTTACTAAGGACTTTTACACAGGGTAATATGTACAGGGTGTTCAAACAATCGACAAAATACAACTTCATGTTGTTTCCAAGGAACCACAATGATTGTTTCAATAAAATATATAGCACAAATATTCTTCTGATATACAGGGTGACTGGTGAATTACTATCGATATTTGAGGACGTGATATTTGACGATCATATATGACATAATAAAAATTTATATAACATAAATATTAATAAACTTCTAAGTAAAGTTAACCAAAAGTTATGTAATTAATTACGCATCGTATGAACACCCTACAGATTAGGTATACACACACACACACACTCGCGCGCGACGGCGTGTTGTTGTATCAGCACGCCGCCGGACGCGTACACACTTGGAACACTTGGAACGTGTCAACACTTTATTTATTTATACGGAAATTTGGTCAAAATTTAAGTACCTATTTTTTTTACATAATTCGAATGAGAATCATGTACCGAGTATGCTCCTTAAATATTGATAGTAATTCACCAGTCACCCTGTATAAGCTACATTACTAGAAAGTATCAACAGAATCCGATCAGTAGTTTTTTCGTAAAGTAGTAACAAACATATATACATACTCATAAACTAATACGTTAACCATATTTATAAAAATTAAATCTATATCAATATTACCTCTCCCGCATTATGTTTCGCTGTTTCCAATTTCTCTTCCGCCCTCTTTAAATTATCTTCTAATTTAGCTTTATGTCTTGCGTCGACTTTACTTGACGATACTTTCGCTTCTTGTTGTTTAATTTGACTCTGTTTGTATGAAAATGTATTGAAAACAATTAAAATAATTGTTAATTTTTACATACAATGTATTCAACGCTTTCATGTAATATATTTGTTATGGGAGTTATCTCAATCTATTGGATTGCTTAGCAAGAAATATTTTTATTTCCATATTACAGTTCACTTTATATATAAAAATATGAACTGTATCCAACAAATGACAACATTATCAATTTCGATTCATAAAAAGGTTTTATAATCTAATGACTATACGCATTTAATTGAAAACTCCTTCTATTATAATAATATTGGTTGTAGGCCCAATATTTTTAAGACTGTATATACAGGGTGACTGGTGAATTACTATCGATATTTGAGGACGTGATATTTGACGATCATATATGACAAAATAAAAATTAATATAACATAAATATTAATAAACTTCTAAGTAAAGTTAACCAAAAGTTATGTAATTAATTACGCATCGTATGAACACCCTACAGATTAGGTATACACTGACACTCACACATACGCATGTCGTGACGTGGTGTTGTATCAACACGTCGCCGCACGCGTCCACACTTGAACACTTGGAACGTGTCAACACTTTATTTATTTATACGGAAATTTTGTCAAAAATTAAGTGCCTATTTTTTTTACATAATTCGAATGAGAATCATGTACCGAGTATGCTCCTTAAATATTGATAATAATTCACCAGTCACCCTGTATATAGCTTTTTTGACTGCAGATATAACTTAGAAATAATAATTCCATAGTAATGATGACCTTCAGAGCAGGAACATGTTCAACCAAACTTTTAAATTCGATGTCTAGCTTGTGTAGAGTCGTTTTTCCCTCTCTAACATTTCTCTGTACATTCACCAACGCTTCTTCTAGATTTGATTGTTCGTTTCTTAATTCTGATAGACTGTTATAAAGAAGAGTATAGTTTTAATATATATTTTTTGTAACAAAAATACTAATAACTTTCAATGAATTTTATACTACAAGATTTTTCTTATTAGTTTTAATGATTAAAGAAAACATGAAAATTTCATATTACCTTTGCTCCAAAGATGCCAATTTCTGTTCCTTTTGTTTAACTAGTTCTGGATTTTCATCTGTATTCTGTACAACTGAACTTGACATGCGTCCACGCATTGTTGTTCTACCTCCACCCGACATTGTACCTAAACAAAAAGATATGTGAGTCCAACGAGACAAGATAAATTCTGGCAATAAACACAAAATTATCCTCGAGTTATGAGTCGTAAGTTTATTAATTAAAAAAATCAACGCTATTACATAAAAGGAAGTATTAAGAATAATAGTTAACAAAATTTTTATAATTTTTTAAAGATTCCTAAATTATTATTACTATTCATTATGAAATAACAATTTATGTGTAAAAATTGTTACGAATAATCGACATCCAGTGTTCTCTACTTATCATAATTTATGAAAGAATTTATATAGACAGATTTTTAGAGTTGTATATTTCTGTTTAAATGATCAATATGGATTTTATACACTTACCACAAGTTGGCACGTAAAAACTAAATATTGAGGGTTTCCATTCATACCCTATACTTATAGATATATATAATGAAGTACTAAAAACACTACGTTTGTAGTTACAGAAACTTGTAGTAAGTATATTATAACACATTTTGAATCGTAATGAGAACTAAGACTTTCGAGTATTCATTTAAATAAAACTATTATTATTCGTTTACAACTATTTTAACTACATACTCCCGACGTTTTGGTTACTTTGTAGCAACCGTGATTACGGACAGACAGGATGTGAATATTTAAAAACGCGTAGTAAATCCGAAAAATATTAGTTTTATTTTATATTTGGTCGATCAACTGGGAATCATTACACGAACCTGCTATCTCTATCACGTCTCCTTGTAGTGTGACGACTCTGTATCGAGTTCTCCCGTAAGCGATCTTCGTTGCTTGTTCGAGATTCGAGGCTACTAATGTATCACGAAGAGCGTAATAAAATGCCGGTAATACACGGGAATCTTTCACTCGCACTAAATCGAATAGACGTGGCACGTTCTCTGGGCTGAAATAAATCGGAAATTAACTTAAGATATATTTATATTTCATCATCATCAGCCTATCAGAGCCCACTACTGAGCAAAGGCCTCGTCTCACATGGAGAAGGTTTGAGCATTAATCTCCACGCTTGCTCAAGACGGGTTGGTGATTTCAAACTTATTGTGAAATTATAAGTCCAGGTTTCCCTACGATGTTTTCCTTCACCGTCTGTTCGTGATGTCTAAATACTTTTAGAAAGTACATATAACTCGGAAAAATCACATTGGCACTTGCCGCGTTTCGAACCCGCGCCCTCATGCATGAGAGGCGGGCCTTTAACCTCTAGGCCACCACGACCTATGTATATTTATATACTTTTATTAAATTGAAGTAAAATAATATGATTTTGAATAAAACCTAGTATGTTATTTTTCTTCATTTTTATGAATTTAAAAGTTTTTAGCCTTTATAAAAATATTTTTAAGAAATAAAAAGATCCATTTCATTTCATAACATTAAATTTTTATATATATAAACATTAAAAAAATAGTTATTTATAGGCAAATAATGTAAGCAATAACATCTCGTTAGGACCATATTTGCTTTAAATAAATAGTTATAAGGCTATTTACTAACATATATGTATACTATCTCTCCACCCACAGCTTCGCCCGCGTGGAGTTCGGTTATATCGCGTTTCCAAGAGAATCTTTCGAAAGTCTGGGATAAAAACTATCCTATGTTCTTTCTCAAGGTCATCTCTATCTCTGTACCAAATTTCATTAAAGTGGTTCAGTGGTTTAGGCGTGAAAGCGTAACAGACAGACAGACAGAGTTACTTTCGCATTTATAATATTAGTAGGGATATACTCACTAAGTCGTCTTGTTCTCACAATACTTGATGAGATGTTGTTGTTTATCGAGCGCTATGAACGTAGCTCGACCCACGTCATTATGTTTCAGATATTCAACACACTGTTGCGCCGTTTCTACACTATCAACAACTATGTTGTCCAAAGCTCCACAACATGTTGATATGGCCACGTCGTATTTGGCATCGATACCGCCGAGATCGCCCTGAAAATATTTGTTTTATTTTGTGAAATGAAATTTCTTATGCGTTGTTGCGTTAAACGTTTAACGGTGGGGGGGGGGGGTTATAAAAAGAGACAGCGAGAAAATGTTTCTCGAGCCCATGCGGGCTATCATTTGGCTTGTAAGTAGTGTTACTAAAGTTTATTTTCGAGAAACAGTAAAAATTTATTACAAAATCAATTTCTACCCCTTCTTATTTTATTCCAACATTACGCATTGTCATTTCTTCCGCGCGGAAGGACAGCACACAATATATATTTTATTATTATTAACATTGGTGAAAAACTTCATTAACACAATCAAGTGCGTAAATTCTTATGATATGAGCTATTTATCAGAGAGAGTCACATTAGAATCGGTCCAGCCGTTTTAAATATAAAATTAAATAATATATTCATACCAGTCTACCAAATATTCCTGGTAATCTTCCTTCTCTCTTTTCCTTCATCAAACAATCTAAGACTCTACCTCTAGATCTGTTGGCGCTCATGGCTTGACGGGATTCTTCTAATTGTGCTCTGAAAGATGAAAGATATATATATAAAATAAAAACTTTATATACATTAAATAATGCATTTTTTAAACACACAATGGTTTTTTTTTACCACATAAACCACACATCTTAAATCTTCAAAGTTATAAAAATAATTGAATTTGTATCTTATGTTTAAAGAAATTTATTTCTTACATTTTTAAGTAGTAAAACCAGTTTTTTTATAAGTATATTAACGAAAACACTGAAATTACTTCTTTATTTGAATATTTATATATTGAAATAAAAAACCTTATATTAATTCACCTCAAGCTCCTCGCTTCGTTTGATGTTGAAATCTCTTCTTTCTTCATTCTCTGTAGTTTTGTTTGTATTTCTTTTACTTGTTGCTCTTGCATTGGAATAGTAGAGGAAAGATCTTCACGAAGACTGAAATATTATTAAAATATAAAAAAATATTCTACTCATATAAAACATCTGAAAGTATCTGAACAAATCTAAATACAGATGTTTGTTATTATTTCACATCAAAACTAATGAAAAGATTTGCATGAAATTTTACATTAATATGGCTAAGGGATGTAAATATGGCAGAAAGATTTTACTACAAATTAATTACAGTAGATATAGTGTTAACAAACTTAATACATACTACTAGGAGCAAAACTTTGAAGTTAATGAGGACAAAGTAGAGAATAAAAATTAGAAATCTAAAAAAATTTAAAATACTTCATATTGATTTATTAGTATAGTGTCACAATTGTTAGGTTGGTAATATGAAAAATTAATAATATTACCAACCTAAAAGTTGGCAATATTGTAATTTCTGTTTATAGTTAAAAACAGTGTAACATATTATAATAATAATATCATGATTTACTAAATCGTTGTAACATTCAAAACAGTATTTATATAAGTATTACTTTCTACAACCTACATTCTCATACAAAATCAAATAAGTCCCTGATAATGTAAATTGAACACAATTAATTAATTCAAAAATGATTTGATTTTATAAATGTAAGTTATCTTACGATTTTTTCTCTGCCAGATCACTTTTAGCTTTTTCATATACATCCTTCATTCTGTTAAGCTTTTCTATTTCTTTTTCTTCTGTACTCAAATATATTTTAAGTTCGGACTCAGCTAACTTTGAGTCTTTATTGGCTTCATCCACTATTTTCTTTAAATCTATTAGTTTTGCTTGTAATTTGTCTTTCTGTTCTTGGAGACCTTGTGTTTTTGATCTAAAACAAAAAAAAATATTAATAAATTTTTCATTAGAAATTAAATTAAAAGAATATTAATATTTTTTAATAAATTAAAGTATAATTTGAGCGTAGGATGAGATTGCATCGGAAAATAAATCTTATTATAATACATTATAGGTACATATACTTTTTAAATACATCAAAAAAAATATTAATTTATTTATTTTTTCTCCATTCTTGCTTTGCTCATTTCAAAACATTACTATATAAAAAGTAACCAACCAAATAGTATTGTTTTATTGAATTAATAAGTTAATTAAAATTTCTGTATGTATAATAAAACTCGAAATCCTATTAATGACTGTAATTATATGACGCTAATAAAATAGTCAGTTTGTATGCATAGATCCCTGTCTATGTATAAAGATATAAATAAATATATACAGGATATAAATATATACACGTATGAAAAACTGTGTCAACCCTCTTAACTACGTTATCAGTATCGATAATGTAACACAATAAAACAACTTACATTTACAAACTCTTCAATAAAAATAATAAAATTAAATATTAAATGATTATTATATGTAGAGTAACAAAATGTTTGTAAACCCTGGTATAACACGATGACACGCAATGACGTCATCACAGCTGGTGCGCTACTAGTGACGACCTTGAAGTTACTTTCACATTATTGACAATATCGATATTTAAAAAATCATAACAATAAATAAATATTTAATATTAATATTATTTCGATACTTATTTTGATATACCAAACATTAATATTATGTTTGATTGTAAAACACCATTTTTAACAGAAATAGATTAACGATTTATCCTAATAATACAACATATGTAGTTAATTTACCTGAACAAGTGTCAAATTATAATATTTATTATTAATAAAAGTTATTTTAAATGAAATTATTTTAATGTGAAAAGCATAACTATTTATAGCAATATTGAAAATGTCGATAGAATATTTATCGATATAACTAATTTTTACACTTTCAAATCTCTATTCGAACAAATAACAGAATAGTAATAATAACGCCGGCGGCCCGTCGCCTGCGGTCAATGGTCACGCATGCGCCGTTGCGACTATACGGTGTCTTGACCTTGTATGAGTCAGATGTTTGAAACATTCTTTCGAAAAATGTCGATTTAAAACTTACTTAGCCTATGTACTGTAACTAACTTCTGCTTGATTTTTTTTAAGTTATACTATTTTTTATAATAAGCTTATACTTATATGTATACGTGCCTTCAAGGGTTGATACAGTTTTTCATACACCCTGTATATGCTTACCTAACCCCAGCCATAACAGTTTGAAACTCTTGTTCAGCATTAACTTTACTCTCTTTATGCTTTTCCAATAACTTCTCACATTCCTCTATCTCATGTTTATTCTTTTCTGGAATCTAAATTTTAATTCATGATATTAAATTTGTAATAGGACACAAAACAATATGTAAATACAATTAATAACTTATTCTACACAAACTATATTAACAAAGTTTCATTAACTACCAAAAAGTTTATAAGAATCAAGAGTTACCAAGAGAACCATTCAAAAGTCTGGGATAAAAACTATCCTATGTTCTTTCTCAAGGTCAACTCTATATCAAATTTCATTAAAATCAGTTAGGCGTGAAAGCTTAACAGACAGACAGAGTTACTTTCGCATTTATAATATTAGTAGGGATATAATACAACCTTCTTGGTAAGTTATTGTTATAAAAAAAGTAGTGTTTTTGTTTTAATACATAACCTACATATTAAAAGTCAGTTCAATATACATACGAGTTCTAAATCAATTAATTTCCCCTTCTCCTGTTCTATTAATTGTTCTAGATTTTTTCGTTTCTTATTTGCTTGTGTCGTATCAGCCTGAACAGTGACAGTTTTTCTCTTACATTGAGTCAACTTCTCAGATATATCGTCCTTTTGTTTTTGAAGTTGGTCATATTTTCTGTAAATTATTTATCAACATATAAAATATTAAATTTTGTTAAATAGTAAGATTAATGTATTATATAGTTTTTTAATGACATTTTGATCAAGAAACGTCGAGTATCTTGGTTTTAAAATAATGAAAAAACGCGTAGTCACACGAAAATACTAGTTTTATAACTTTATTTAATTAAGTTCATGACTTGATTACAATACAATTTAAAAATTTACTACATAAGTAATATAATTATATCATATATGGAATTAAAAGTTTAAAGAAAAAATATAAATTATATCAAACAAGTAATAACTCACTGAGTGCCGTTTTTCAATTCAGTTGTTTTTTCATGTAATTCTTCTTTTATCTTTGTCAATTTCTCATCAATCTTTGCCAAAACATCTTTAAGTTCTTGCAATTCTTTTGTTTTGTTTTCAATTATTTTATTGGTTTCATGGCTGTAAGGTGAAAAATTATATACATTACAAATCATTTCAGAACATTTCTTACAAGTTTTGAAATATTTGTTAAATATGTATTATAATATACAATTTACTTAAAAACCAATATTTTACACTAATTTAAGCTAAGATTATGTTATATTGACTGAAATCTTAGATAAATAGAGTTGAATCAAACATAAAAATAAAAATTCCTATTAAAATCTGCTTAGACTTAGAGACATTATCATTAGAAAAAATATAGCATAGAAATTTGCATTGTTTTAACAAAGTAATTGTTATGTATTGTTTATGCTTGCTCAATATTGTTAAAATTATAATAATAATGTCAAGTGTAATATAAGTACATTACTTTATTATATTAGTTACTGTCATTTAGTGTGCTACTACTTAGCACAATACATACATGACATTTGACAAAATATACTTTTATTGATACTACATTAATAATATTTATATATAATAATATCTTACATATATTTCTGTAACAATGTATTCCTCGTCCTTAATGCAGTGTTAGTTAGATTCATGAGTTCAACAGCCTCTCTCATTGGTTGTTCCAATTTATTTTTCTCTTGTTCAACCAATCTGACTCTATTTAATTTCTCTTTACGCATTTCGGTGTATTCTTCTACTTTTTCCGATAGTTTTTCTATTGGTTCCTGAAAAATAAAAAATACAATATAGAAATTAAATATTATTCCTATTCTCGTGTGTAAAGGAAATTGAATCGACTTTACAAATTTGAATAGTAATATATTGTTTGATACAGTTATTGTCATTTACATTAATTTTAATATACCTTATATCTTGAGGTTCCAATAATATCTTCCAAGTACTCAAGCATACCAGATTCATGTTCTGTCTGACCCTTTGGTTTCATCATAGCAATTTGTTCCACTTCACCCTATAAAAATTATTATATAAGTTTTTAAATCTTGTTTAATGAGGAATTTATTAAAACACTCGACTTTATATATATAGTTCAAGGTATAGTTTTAGATTTGTTAAACAGTGTTCAGTGTTACTTTCAGTTGTGTCCTACAAAACGGCTAAAGCCAGTTTTTATAGTTTTTAAGAACAAGTTGATACTCAAATGTTTCCTATACAAAATTACAATAGCTCAGTATTAAAATTAATAATAGGAAATGATACATATAAATAATTTTAAGGGTATAGTATGGAATGGATGTATTATATTAAACGAAACTGAAATCACAAAGTATGAATTTTATGTATGTAGTACATAACAGAAGAAGCTTAGTTTAAAGATATATTTTAACAGTTATATGTATATGATATTTTTTAAGAATATGATAAAAATACTACATTTCATACCTGTAAAATAAGGAACCTATTGTGATCCAAATCAATTCCATGCGACCTTAACATTTTAGCCACCTCTTTGAACTGAACTCTCTTTCCATTAAGAGTGTAATATGATGAATTGTCTTTTGCCGCCGTTCTTGATACAACTATCTCACTATTGGGTACCACTGTAAACTCTTCACCTTCCTATTATAAAACATTTTGAATAAGTGACTATAACTTATTTTTTGTATTTTTATTGTCTATTTTATAGTTAAGTAATAAAATAAATAAACAAAGGTGTAAGTGGTGATAAATAGAAACCAAAATATGACAAATTCAGTGATGGCTCATATTATTTTCATTGAATAAGAACATACCCCATCAATTATCTGACAGAAATGTACAGCAACACTAGCACTTGTTATATTTGGAAATTTACTAGAAGAATGAATTAACACTGAAATCTTCTTTGAACGGATTTTGGTGGCTCGATAGCCAAAAACAAATAACATGGAATCAATAACATTGCTCTTCCCGCTTCCATTTGGGCCTATAATGGCTGTGAAACTCTGAAATATATCTTCAAATTAGAATTACGTTCAATCTCCAATACAACTTGTACATTAAAAAGAATACCTTATGAAAAGGGCCTAATGTTTGCACGCCAGCATAACTTTTAAAGTTTTCATTTACGATATGCGTTATTATCAGCCTTGGGCCCGTTGTATCAAATGTTAGAGCCGGCTTAGGCGCTGGTGGTATATAAATATCACCTATCCGGATACCACCTTCCTCGTCATCGGATATATGATCTATTTCTCCATCATCATTAACATTTTGATCGCTTGTTGGTGACTGGTCATCGTCAACTTCCATCGGTTCTACACCTCTTTTTGTCTTGGTCTTTTGCATTTTTATAACTTCAATAACTTAAATTATAATATGTGAATTTTATTAACTTCTACAACATTAGAAAAGTCGAAAATACAGGAAATAATATTTGAAATTTGATTGTTTCGTTAACGCGGTTAGCGGGATACAAAATTTTGATTTTGACATTAATACAGATAATATAAAACAAAGAAACTTAACGTAAAAATAAATTATGGTTAAAAAAAAATATTAAGAGGTAGAGTGGAAACTTTATAAATTAAACAATAAAAATTGTGCAAATGGTAGGTTCTAACCATATTGTAATAAATAAAAAAATACCATGACTATTTATGAAGCCCAAGGTCAAACCAGCGAGATCATCGTAGTTATAAAACGCAGCCCCACCAACTGCTCACTGTATAACAGCGTGCCCCACGCGGTAGTAGCTATGTCCAGAAACACAAAGGCTTTCGTCTACTCTTCAGATAACCATCAAGATGCACTGGGAAAAATCGTCACTATAGCAACAACAGCAACCAGTCGACAGATCGAGGATTACAACATCAAGATGGCAATCAAATCGAGGGACTTCAATACTATTAAGAATATAACGTTGGAACCTTCAGCCTTACAGAACTAATATTCACCTTAATATTTAATTTTAGTAATCAAAATAAATATGTCTAATGCATCCCTAAGCTGCAACAATATGTAAATTTATTATAAATAACTGAGAGCAAATTTTTAAGAAATATTTTGTAAAATAAAATTTTGTTGTCTAAAAAGGGCATGGACCCTAGAGTTCATGGTGTAGTTAATAACTAAATAAAAAAAACTTATTGTAATATTCTGTTTTGTTTTAATTTTTAATTATATTATTATTATATTTAAAGTCACACAAGTCAAATTATTCGATTGTGTCAATTTGTCATTTTTACAAATGTCAATTGTCAACTCAATATGGCTAACCGTACCGTAAAGGACGCGAAATCAATTCGCGGTACAAATCCCCAATATTTAATAGAAAAAATCATAAGATCTCGTATATACGACTCTAAATACTGGAAGGAAGAATGTTTTGCCTTAACTGCAGAGTTGCTCGTCGACAAGGCTATGGAGCTGCGATATGTTGGAGGAGTGCACGGTGGTTTTATTTATCCAACGCCTTTTTTGTGTTTAGTTCTGAAAATGCTACAGATACAACCTGAGAAAGACATCGTTGTTGAATTTATTAAAAACGAAGAGTTTAAATATGTTCGTGCGTTGGGCGCGTTCTATATGAGGATAACCGGTTCATCGCTTGATTGCTACAAATATTTGGAGCCACTTTACAACGATAATAGGAAATTAAGGCGCCAAAACCGCGAGGGTCAATTTGAAATAGTTCACGTAGATGAGTTTATTGACGAATTGCTTCGGGAGGAACGTCTATGTGATGTGATTTTACCAAGAATACAGAAACGGCATATATTAGAGGAAAACAATGAATTAGAACCTAAGATATCCGCTCTTGATGACGATTTGGACGAAGAGATGCCATCAGACGAGGAGCCTGTGGATGTTGAAGCCAAAGAAAATAAAAGGGATAAAGATAGGCGGGACAGAGATAGAAGAAGAGACAGGTTGGTTTTCATCATGTTTTCAGTAAATGATAGTTTTTTCCTTTATAACTTTAATATTGTCTCCATTATTAGCATTAGACAAGGAAACTGACCTAAATTTATATAATACAATTTACTGCAATTTTATAGTTTAAGTAAAAATTGTTTGTGTGTTAACCCTTAAATGCGCGAATTTTGTAATCGTTTATAAATATATTATTCTAATCATATTAGGATCTATAGAGCAAAGGAAAAATGGTTAAAAATATATAGTATTGATATAAAGCTACTAAAAATACAAAAAAGTGTATGTTGCATATGTGCAACAGTGCGCAGTCATCGAATTATGCTATGTATGGAAAGAATGAGGTCATCAATAACAAACTCAAAATAGATACAAATTCAAAGTTCTTTTTTATTCACGGTGAAATTTATAAAAACAATTATTGTCTGTTGTAACATAAGTTTACTCTACATTTTTCACAATAACTGAATGTATATCCCTTACAATTAGGGTATTTACATCTGGCCCGATCCCCCAATTTTTGTCAGTGATATATTGTGTCTTGTCGGATATCTTTCGGAGGCATAGTTTGAGCTGGTCCACACTTCTTTTTTAGTTGAAATTCAGCTTCTAAAGATGAACTGCTTGGGCGACCCCTTTTGGTACCATTTTCTTTTTGGCCAAGATTGCATAAGGTACGGGCCAGCTCAAGTCTGTAATTGCACAGATTCAATGGTTTTATGGAAGATTTGTTCAGTTTCAGAGATTTCTTGTACAATAGCCACGAATTTACGACTGTAACGTCCAGAAGATGGAAAAACAAGCGATTTGTCCACGTTCTGCTTTTGCGAGTAACATGGTACCTTCCGATAAAACTATCAAGGAGATCCACTCCTCCCATGTGGGTATTGTAGTCCTTTATCACATTGGGGCAATATATTGGAATCCGCTGTTTCGCCGTTTTGTCATACCTCATAATTGTAGTCACAGGCAAGGCTCCAGTGTAGGTTGACATCAAAGTCACAGGCTTATTGTCTTTCCATAAAACAGCGCTAATGTTGATACCATCTACATTGGCAACCTGTTCCTCATAGTATCCTCTTGGTACTGTTTGTTTCATCAGAGTTTTCTTATCCGGAAGCTTGTTATTAGGTATGCGATTCACCTGTATACTTCCTAAGCAATATATTCGTTCTTTTGCAAAGTAAGTGAGCAATGGCACCGATGTGTAATAGTTGTCGAAATAAATAATGTGGTTGACACGTCTTGGAACAATCCGAGTTAGACGCAGAACGGTATTACCAGTTGGTCTCAAATCTTCATCACAATATTCTAAATCCGCTAATAACTGGCGATTATTCTCATAGTAAACTTCTTCATCTTGCTCTTCTTCTTCTGATAATTCCAAGTCATCCTCGGACAGATCCAGAGTTTGCAGGTATTCTTCGATGTCTCAGTTATTCAGCAATCTCAGCATGCTGTAAAAAGGCAAACAAAATTAGGTAAATGTTTCTAAATACATCACTACTGATCAAGTAAAAATTCAAATTTGTTTGAACGTAAATGCGCAATGTTGCACATACGACACAAACAGTTTGTTTGAAAAAAAACTTATCAAACTTTTGAATATATGGAAAATTATTATTTTCTGGTCTTTTTGATTAGTTATATTAGTGAAATATAAAAAAACAAAACACACTTACCTTCGAAATTCGCATAAAAAACGACATAACACTACACACAAATTACTTTTTACAAATTCGCGCTCCCGCGATTTTTAAATTAAAAAATTATGAAGTTTAAATTTTTGAAAATGAACCGTCACGTTAAATGTCAAAACGTTCATATATTTTTCTATAATCTATGGCAGATTACGTTCAGAAACGTGTACATTAACTTGTCAAATTATTTTAATTTTCGGTTCGCTGCAGATATGCAACAAGGCGAATTTAAGGGTTAAATTTAATCAAAAATGCATATAGTCATGAAATATTAATTGTTCATTTTAGATTATGTATGTATGTCAACACTGTAGGTAACACACTGCACTATTAAGAATCTTTTGGTGTTACATTTGTATCTTATATATATTTTTATGTAGTAACTAAATTATGTAGTGTTCAGTGTACAAAAATTAACTTCCATATTACTGATATTGGTTGTTTTTGTGGATAATAACACAAACATTTGCAGTATATTAATGACATATTGCTGAATAACAATGGCATTAATTTTATTTGTTTTAATCCAAACATTTTGACGTAATTTTTTCATGAAAGAAATAGCATACTTTTTATTTAAAATCATGACCTATTGAACTCTGAACAAAATCTGTTTTTCTATTTATTCAATTTAGGTTACATAATAATGTGTTATCTTTTACTATAGCAATCATTATTATTAATAATATAATTAATTTTTATAGGTCTCGTGATCGCGATCGTCGTGATAAAGATCGCAAAAGGGATCGTTCTAGAAGTAGAGAGAGAGAACGGAGGCGAGAACGAGAGAGAGAAAGAGATAGAGAACGCGAAAGAGAGAGAGAACGTGCTCGAGATCGAGACAGAGAAAAGGATAGAAGAGATCGTCACGACACAGACAGAAGGAGAGATAGAGGGAGATATTAGTTATATAATAAATTGTTTTACAATGTCCTGTTTCATTTTTACTTGCCAACTAATTCGAAATAAATTACGATAATGGCCGATAATTATATGAATTAAATAGTTAAAAGCCTTTATAGAGAAAAAGACAGAAAATATTGGGTTAAAGAAAGCTCTTCACAAAGATAACGACAAAGAAGGAAGATGTGTAATGTTAAAGAAAGTTTTACAAAGCATAACATTCAAATAAAAAACAGCTATTCGTAAATCGTTACTGTGGCGAATAAAAATATATAAATAAAAGTTATAGTAGGGGAGCCCAAGCGGGGATTTCGGGATTTACTAAAGCGCGGCAGATTAATATACAGGGGGATACCTTGTACCCAGTTAAGTACCTCCACAAAACATGAGGCCCATATACAAAGCCGCCCTTGAAGGATACAGGATCAGATTAGTAAAAAAAAATTGACCATCAGAAATTCTCGAGCGCATCAGATTAAGGTAGGGTGAGTTAATTACACCCTTAAAAGGCTATTATTCCACTAATCTGACAATTTGAGAGTGACGTAAAAAAAGGGGAGGGCAACAAAGTTGTAAAAAAAAAGTCGTCTCGACATTCTCGAGCGTAGCTAAATTTTTTTTTATTTTGAAGGAAATAATTCAAGAATAATGAAAAATATATAATCTGACGATTTCCACAAGCCGAAATAACAAAAATTCGTCGATAAAGTTAAATGTATGCAGCTGCGTGATGCCTACATTTCCTTCTCCCCGTTTCTATTCCTCTCTCACTCTTTCTCTATCTATTACTCTCTCACTCCGTCCCCACTCTGGTTTCTGTTGCCATGACGCCATCACAGCTGATCATAAAGACTCGTTCGTGGCATACTGTTTACAACGTGTTTCAAAAGTTATTGCGGTTCGAAAATTCCAAAAATAGTGTTCGATGAAATTTCTATGAGACTTTCGAGCTGGGAGAGCTCGAATGCATAGAAATATTATTTTTTTGAACTCAGCGAGCTCAAAATATCACATAAATTATATTTTGAGCTCAAAAATGTCATAAGTAAAATTTTAAGCGCCCAGGAATGGAATTAGCGAGAAGTTGCAGGGATGGCCTTTAAGGTGAACCGTTTTTCTAATTTTTTTTTGTCTGATTAGGCGAATCCCTCTACATAATCGTCAGATTATGAGACAGTACGTTTAGAACATAAATATTAACCATATATATCTTAATCTGACGCGCTTGAGTATTTCAAAGTGACGATTTTTTTTTACACATTATGAAAATGGCGGCGAGTTTGCGTTCCATCGAATTCGTCAGATTAGTGAATGAGAACTTTTTTTTGGTGCACTTAACACTCCCTTAGAAAATCTGACGCGCTCGACTAAATTTATTTTTTTTTCATTTTCAACCCTTAAATACAACCACCCGCATCGTGCAAACGATCAGATTAACATACATACATTATTTAAAATACGTAGGGCATTGATGCTATCAATATCTGACGCGCTCGAGGATGTCCATGCAACAGTTTTTTTTTTGCATATTTAAAAATCAATAGCCGCTTCCCCCACCGATGTAAAGGTATATATCATATAACATTTTTTTCTTCTTATCATCTAAGCTTTGCATCCCAATAGGTCTCTACGACGCTCGAGTAAATCCCCATTTAGCATCGTGGGCTCCCCTACTATTATGTATTAAGTGATATGAGTACTGCAGTCAATAAATGAATAGTTTTAATTGAAGAAGTAGTTCAACATAGTGGAATTGATACCTTCCTCCTATTTAAAGTCGGTTAAAACCTAAACAAAATTAATCTTTATGATATTCTTTACATAGTAGAAGTACTATCAAAATCAGTCCAACCCTTTCAGTCTTTTAGACATAAACTAAAACAGATTTATGAGAAATTTTAAAAAATAGCTTTCATGTTGGAAAAATCTAATGAATATCTTTTTTTTACAAGTTACAGAGAAACATAAAAATTTTCAAAAATACGTGTTTTTTGCTTTTTAATTTGTTCTAAACTTATAAGGTTGGCTATGTGTTTATGAATGAATCCCTCCAACTCCGTCTACGCATTCGAAAAAAGGATACATTTTGTATTTATTGTATTTGAACTTGCAACATATTAAGTATCATATTTGTTCAATAAAACAACTTAGTGTCTTATAACTCTTAGCAACATATTTAAAGGAAGGAATTAAAGAAATATTATAATAAAACTATAATTTATTGCTAATTTTATTTACAATAACATTTCGTTAAAAATCTCAATGTACATATATTTTTAATCTACATTGTTTATTATCAATTAAAACAAAATTTAAAAATAAATTTATGACTATAAACAAACAATACACATTTTAAAATTTTGTAAAAACATCATTTTATTTGAAATAAAAACAAAAAAAGCCAAAGGTTATAAATAGATTAAAAATAACATAATTTATTCAATACATATTTCATTAGTACTTAATTGAGACAAAATTTTCAATATCAAAAAATATGAATATTTTTTCCTAAAATAACATAGACTTGGCCAATTGATTGGAATTTTTCTAAAAATTATATCACCTAACTATATTTTTATTACTATTAAAAACTAGATCACAGACAGTGAAAGGAATTAAAGTATATTAAATAATTTATTTGCATATATGTATATAAGACAGATTTATAGCAAACAATATATATTCATATTGTTTAATTTTACATAATTTTTAGATTAATTTTAATCTACATCATAACATTTTAATATAATCTGTATTATAATTAATCTGTGAGTGACCTGTTTTACTAATAATAATTATGTTGACATATAATAATTTTTGTTTATGATAAAGTCTTAGCATTTTAGTCTTTCGCTATTACAATTTATAATAGGACAAGCAAAATCCCAGATCATCAGGTAATATCAATACATACATTAGTACTTCAGCCAAATTACATAGATCTATCATACAATTTGGCAACCAAATACAATTCAGTCATTATTCACAATCAATTCTCATTACTGTGTCTGCTCATAGTATTTTTTATTATACTACTGAGAGTTAGTTTTGGCTAGAATGTTGGTGCATTCATTATGAATATTCTCTCTTCTTCTCTCTTAATCCAATGCAGAAGACGGTCTATTGCTCTGATTGCTTGGTCTTTTTCCATGAGAGCATCAAATGTAACATATAATTCAAAGCCGTTTGTTATCTGTGAAACAATTTTAATCTGTTATTTTATTTACCAATTTATATGTACAATTATATTTTTAAAAGGAAACTAGTGTTGAACTAATACTGAAATTTTAATTTTATTTTAAATGCCTTATATATGACAAATTTTATCATAATTATTTTTACTAGCTTTTGACATATAGGCTTTAGATTTAGGTTAAAGGAGATATTAATAATATACACTTAAACAAAATAAATATAGAAATCCACTGGCAGTGCTTGTAACTACAAATATAAAAAATGTAATATATTTTTCTATGAATCACTAAAAGGATTAAAAAATATATCTCTTATCATATCATCACTGGAAAGTTTCATCAATACACATTCAGTAGTCTCAGTGGAAGATCAATAAACATCTATAAAACCTCATTCATTAGACTTCACATTTATAATATTAGTAGAACTACTAACCCATGCCAAAATAGTATCATCTGAATTCGACCTGAAAATTAATTTCGCCGGCGTTGATGTACAATGTATTTGACTACAGAACTTCCTATACTTTCTAACATGCTCTATATCAGATAACTTGGTAATTTTCTTCTCTGTAATATCACCACCTTCCTTATGTCTAAGTCTGTAATCCTGTAATTTATCCAGACATATGGGATCCGATGTGAAAAGTTGTGCTGTTGATTTGCATTTGTACATAAAATGCCTAATTTCTGGTATACCAATATGTTTTAGAGGATTTGTTGTGGGTAGTTCTTTATTTCTGTTCAACGCGTCGTTAATAGCAACCAAACAGTTTGAGCGTCTTAATTTGTCTGCAATCGTATGTTTTGCTTGTGATAATGGGAAAAAAGCGTCTCTTTGGACGGTTAAAAGTAAGAGGCAAGCTTGGCAATCTTCCGATATATATGATACATGCCCATGCAGGAAGCCACTGTAAAGAAATACATAATATTATGTATTAAGCATTTATACCAATAAGAGTTTTCAATATTAACGATTTAATAGCAATATTTGTAACTACATACTAAATTAATTTCATATTTTTTGCTATGTTTAGATGCATGTAAGTACATTTTTGGCAGAATAAGCTTAGACAAACTATATAGTTAAATATCTAATTATATAAGTCCTTATTGTAGATATAAAAAAAACTTACGTAGCATCAAATTTTGGCAAACAAATAGGTGTCCAACTCTCAGCGGTTTTAAACGATTCTGAACTCCTAACCAGATTGAACAATAGATGTATGTCGGACGGATGCAAAGTGTACTTCTTCATTCTGACCAAAGTAATCAATTGGTTACCAGCTATTAATATAGCGAATACCAAGTCCCTTATTTTATTACAAGTAGATGTTATAGCATTCGTTATATTTTCTCTTGATTTTTCTGGTAGTGGTAAACATCTGACTGCACCGAGTAGAAATGCCGGATCTTTCTCCATGAATATCAGCAAATGATCTATCAATCTTTCAGCACCAGACAAAAGACGTCGTAAGTCGTAATTACGACGTTGTTCGAATATTCTGTTCAGTTGTGTTAGTGTTAGCACTGATACTATTTGGTTGAAGGCATATCTGGAAAAAAAAGAAGGTATTATACATACTATCATAATAAAAGGACTTAATAATACTAGAGATATTGAGATGCAATGAATTCTCTTGTTTATGTATATGAATGGTAAAAACGTACTGATAAAAATTTTAAGCATTGTAAAACTGTACTAATCTAAAGGAATAAATTGACAAGTTTTATAGTGATGGCTACATTGTAAAGTAACCGTTGCTGTGAACATAAATATATGTGCATATGATAGTTTATTTGTAATAAAAAGGTATTAAATGGATTTCAATATTTTTGATTTATTTAGTAAGTAAGGGATTTCCTCAGTTATTTGGCAAATGGTGATCAAAATCAAAGATAAAATTTTGTCACTTAATTTGATTGTTTTTTTTTTATTATAATTTAGCTTAGATAAGTTATTTATATGAAATCAGCATATACTCACGTTAATTGCATGACAAGCTGTGTCTCACTTTCATTGGATTTAGAAACAGCAACCAGTATTAAAGGGCCTTTCATTAAAAATACTACTTTGCAATCCTTAGTGCTGATGGATCTTAATATATCTTGGTTCTGTTCTTCAACCACACTAACTAGAGCTTGAATAACTCCACATAATCCAGCCAATTTATCTTCATTACCATATCTGTGAAATAAATATTGAAATAATTACAGTACTGAAAAAAAAGTTATATTAGTGTACTTTAATTACTGTCATTATCAGCAAAAATACAAACAAAAATAGATATTTCATTCTTTTTTGGTTGTTTTGCAATACCAAATAGTTGTGATAATAACTATAACCAAACAGTAATTCTTATAATTTTAATTTGCTCACTTTATCCAATTTAATGGATTATTATCCAAGGCTATGCTAGAATGCCTCAAATCACTTAAGGCATCTTCAAAACAGTACCATATCTCAGCTAGGAAGGTACTGAACCCGCCTAAAATATCTTTCCATTACACAGCTTTTTGATTTAGTTATTTTATTTGGATCTGTACCTCATAATAAAATTAGTTTACTTATCTATCTTTCACATCTTAGAAGATATATGTATATATTTTAAGAACTATTTTAATACTGAATTGATAATGAGGAATATAGATTTTCTTTTCCTAGATATATTATTAAAGGTATTTTGTATATCACTAACTTATAAGAAGTCAATATAAAATATTAAAGTATTAAAGTAATTACCTTGAGTAAATAGGTTTACCGGCGGAGCTTAAAATAAATACATGTTTTTCTTTGTTAACAAGTTCAGGTGAACGAAGATAATCATCTTTATCATCAGCTTCATCACCATTTTGTTCGAGAAGATTAGATGAACTTGTAGATGCTGATATTGATTCCTGAAAATATACAAAATAATACATTACAGTAACAATAATGAAGCACTTAATTCAATAATAATATGCCGAAAATTATTTTACATTTTTATTAAGTTGAAATATGAAAAGTCCTTCCGTAGATTGTTTTTAGGCTTTTAATAAGTTATGGAAAATTTAGAAGAATATGAAATAGAATATTTTAAAGAAATCTATACCTCACTAACCTTGAAAGTATTGACCTAGTCCTAGTACATTTGATACTTGACATGTTACACGGCTATTCTCAATTTATGTAACTTTTATGAACAATATTAATGTTTATTTAAATTAGAATGGAAAATATGTATTTAGGTTTTGTATATACATAGTTAAAAACATGATCCATCATTTAATATAGATCATTGAGATTTAAAAATTTAGTAAATATTTTAACTCCTGTTATGTTTATAAAAAAAGTATATTCTAAGTAAATTATTTACTACATTTGTATAATATTGTCAACTTAAAATCCACCCACATTCAGATACACCTTGAGATTATTTTATGCATTTATATTATTACAAGTTACATTTTATTTTGCCTCATTATATTTAGTGCTTAACATATAAGATCAAAAAGTTACAAAAAATGATAAAACTTACATCTTTGCTCTGTAAATTATCACTAGATTTAGTCCCGTGTAACTGCGAACATTCACCAATCTCACTTTGAATTTCACTTATTGTGCTTGATTTTGCTGTGAGAATATTACGTTCCTGAAGGTTCGGAGTCAACTCGGACGCAAATTCCTCAAAAGTATCTTCAGGATTCAGGATAGAATCACTGCAAGCACCTGGTTCAAGATCATCCCCCAAATTACCCGCGACCTTATCCCCGTCGGGAACACCATCCTTGGACGTTGACGCCATGTTTTTGATTTTAAATTAAGTTTATTTTTATAATCTTTATATATTTCTTTGATAATAATTTAACAGTAATAAAAATCAGTTCTGCCGTAGCATCAAACTTTTTTTATAAAAATTGAAATGACATTAACAGTAGCTGTATTTGTCATATTTGACAGCGAAAGAGACACTTGTCACTAACAAGACAAGTAAAACTGAATATTGGTTATCGTTTAAAAAAGGCTTATCTTAAATAATGTGTTCAGGATTAGTTTCAGTTTTAAAACTCAAATGGATAGTAATAAATGGAAATTATGAAAAAAATTTACAAAAAAGATGTCATAAAAAAATAAAAAGAACCTTTCAAAAAAATATCTATCTTTAATGTATCAAAGACATTATAATTAATACATTAAAGATGGAGTAAAAAAAAATGATTCAAATATAATTATTCATTAATATATCAAGTTGAATTTATGAATAGAATGTATCAATTATCCATATATCTTTATTAAATGAAGAAAACCAAGCTATATTTTTAATATCCATTATCATCATATTTTAACCTTACCGAAGTAAAAACTAATCGTTTTTAAATTGTTACAAAATTTTATAGTGTTCCTTAAATTTAATTTCAGTTAACCATAATTATTTAAAATTTGAGTGGCTGTTAGCTCCATTATCTTTGACAATTCATTAGAAACAGTGAATCGTTTATTTGCCTTATCCTCTGAAGAGCCGCGGGGAGATACTTGGTTTGACTCTCGAAAGGATCACTCTAAAACGAAAAATCTTAGGTTAATATGTTATTAAAGGGTTGGCTAACTTTGACAGCAGACAATCGTTTATCGTGGCATGGAATGGTCTAGAATCTTGGCACCTCCTAGTTCAGTTCAATTCAGAAATGAGTATTTCTTTACTGGCGATAATTGTTGTATCAGTATATGGTGTTACGTTTAACATTTAATTTTAATAACAACGCCGACTGACTGACATTTTCATTTCATCTGGCTATAATCACGATTACTGTAAAGTAAACGAAAAATCGGAAGTATATTGTTGTGAAGTAAAAAAAAAAGTAGAAAATTTCAATTTTATTCAAATATATACACTCGAAAATGTTACATATCATTATTTGAATACTAATTCCAAAACATAACTAAATTGCGACGGAAGATGTTTTTGGGATCTTATTCTTATTGCGAATAGCAGTGGCGTGCACCGCCGTCTTAAACTAAGCTGGGGCCCTTGGGCATATCAGAATTAGAGGCCCTTTTGGAAAGTAAAAAACGCTAATTACACTAACATTTTAAAAATAAGTTTAATCATTTATTGATGTTATAAATACGTCATTAATTATATACGAATGCTGCTGTTTTTTGGTTCTGATTACGATAATGGTTTCTTTCGGGATTTCTGTTGAGCAAAATCTTCTATTATATCATTAAAGTCAATGTTTTGAAGGATATCACTTTCAATGCACATAATTGACAAATTACTTAGTCGTTCTTGTAACATTGTTGTTCGCAATTCATTTTTTATTCTCTTAAGCTGCGAAAATGACCGCTCTCCACTGCCATTAGTAACCATCAAGCAAAGGAATATTCTTGTAGCAATTTCTACGTTTGGAAAAGTTTCTTCCAATTTATCTGCTTTTATTAAGTTATGTAAGGTTGAGATATTTAAATCCGCCGATCGCTTTGCTATGTTTTTTAAATATTGACTTAAATGAAAACCTTCTGTTTTAAACTCATCTGCATTTATGTCTTCATGATAAAATTTTGCAAATTCTTTGCATTTTTTGGTCAACTCATCAAATTCTATTATTGTTAACTGACAAAGAAAACCAAATCGACTATCAATTTCTTGGTATGCTGCAGAACGTTTTTTTAAATGAGTAATTAATGTGTCAATTATGGGAATGAAAGTATCTACACGAAACTTTCCTTTGCCTCTCAACTGTGCCGTCTTTGATGATCCTTCAAAAAAAGTGATGCGTGTGCTGCGAAATCTTTTTCTTTCAAATGTGTCTTTGTAGTCAGCATATGGATTTTTTTCTTTAGCAGCCGTTTCGTACTGATCAAAGTTATCGCGTGCGGTATTGGCATAACTGATCAGAGACTCGTAAAGTTTCGTTACAACGTCCATGGTCATAGTGCTATTCTGTAAACTTAGACTTGTTTTATTCATAACTAGCTTTTGCCGCGACTCCGTCCGCGTGGAATAGTGACTTCCGGCAGATTTTTGGTTCTTCCCACATAGTTCCCGTTCTTGCGGGGTTTTCGGAATGGTCGAGTTCTCGTAGAGTTTTCAGGATAATAATAATAATAATAATAATAAATCTTTATTTCGAACACATAGTCCATAGGGTACAAAAAAAAAAAATAATATAATAATAATAAAATAATAAAAAATTAATAATAAAAAAAAAATAATAATAATAGAAAATAAATTAAGATGGAATAAGTACATTACAAATAAATAAATAAATAATACAAAATAACGACACAGCATCATCGCACATGGGCACGCAGGTAGGTCTTCAGAATATCTGAGTCGTACCTGTCGGCAATTACTTGCAGAATGCTATTAGAGCTGCCCCGCAACCTGCTTATAGATGAAGCTAGCCTCTTGCGTATGATGGCTTGAAATCCATCAGTTCTTTCATTTGTAAACATACCTGAGGCACTACAGAACCGAGGCAGCCCCAACAGCATCCTGAAGCCATTGTTATATTGGACACGCAGAGCACTAAGCGATCTTTGAGTATGATTGAACCACAGGCTGCACGTGTATAGTGTCTGGCAGTAAGCTTTAAACAAAGTTATTTTGACTTTAGCGCTACAACGTGCAAACCTGCAGGTCAACATATTACTCCTAACCGCCAGCGCTCTGCGTTCCCTCTCTATGTCTACTTGGTCGTCTAGTCCCTCAGTAACATAGTGACCCAGGTATTTAAACTGTTTCACCCGTTTTAATTCAGTACCATTCAGCTTCATGGCGGGCACTATGGACGGATATTTACCGGCGGCCCCGAAGACCAAGTATTCACTTTTTTGACAGTTATACAGCAGCCCGTGATCGCGACTGTACTTTTCACATATAGTAAGTAATTGTCTCATTGCGCTAACAGATGGGGTCAGCAGAACCATGTCATCGGCGTAACTAAAATTGTTCATACAAACGTCATCAATCCGACATCCGACACGAGTACTGCTGAGCCCAACTATGAGCTCATTGACATAGAGATTGAATAGCTTTGGAGAGGTCAGCCCACCCTGCCTCACCCCGCACTCCAGCCTGTACGATTCGGAACAACTGTCCGCCCATCTAACACAATTGTTTTGATTACGGTACCTGTATTGAAACAGGTGTTGCACCTGTGTATGCACCCCTGTCTTCGCCAGCTTATCCCATAAGACATCATAGGATACCAGATCAAACGCCCTGGATAAATCAAGGAAGCAAGCGTAGACAGGTGTACTTCTCTTCGCATAGTATCGTACAGTGTGCTTCACACTCAAAATAGCGCTTTCAGTCGAGAGTCCAGCTCTGTAGCCAAACTGCGCGTCATGAATATTGAGATGCTTATCCAGCTCCTCGTCAAGCACACTGTCCAACACCTTCGCCACTACCGTTGCTAAGGATATCGGCCTATAGTTACATTTATCTGACAAATCACCCGTTTTGTTTTTAACAATCGGTACCGTAATCGATTTTATAAGATCATCCGGCAAGTACGAGTGACTCAAACATATGTTAAAGAACATAGCCAACACACGCGGTAGATGCACTCCCGCGTATTTTAAATGTTCAATACTGAGCCCGTCATGCCCCGGTGACTTACCCCTGGACATTTTACTAACTATTCTACGAATTTGTTTACCTGTGACAAGATACATGTCACCGGTCATGACGGCCTCAGAATTTTTAGTCGAGGGACCGCGCGGCGATTTCACAGTGAAATGTTCCTTAAACAATTCGGCAATATGTTTGGTGTCACTTACACCTCCCACGCTTACAGGGAGGCTCGACTTTTGGTTTAATTTACCCGTAGCTTTCCAAAATTCCGAGAATCTATTAGAAGCATGATGTTCCGTAATTAAATCTTTTTCTATCTGTTCTTTATTATTTTGACACCACTTTAATTTGTTCTTAAATACTTTACGACTTTCCCTCATCTCGTCATATATGATACCAGATTGAGGTTTATTATGGGAAACCCAACATAAGAATTTAAGCCTCGCCTCCCTGTGCGCGCCATACACATATTTATTCCAGCCACTCACATGTTTGATATTTTTGTTACGACGGCGGCGCTCATTAATTGTACTCGACTTGATAGCCGAATCAGTTAACACTAACGTAATCTTTTTATACAAATTATCTATTACAAATTTATGTTTATTATATTTACAACAATTATAACTACATTGCCTAAGTTCAGACGGAAAATCTATTAATTTTAGAGTTACACATATTACTATAACTTTTTATTTGCTCATTAGTTCTATAGCCCCAAATAGCTTTGTTTTGCTTATTATTTATCCTTAAACTAGTTTTCTCAGTTATCATATTAAGTTGGCACTCAATAACTAAGGGTAAATGGTCAGACCAATATGTGTCATATTTTATATAGACATTGGTAACAGTTTGTCTCGCAGAGTAGCTAACAACACAGTGATCAAGCCACCTAGTACATCCCTGCGCATCACTAATAAAAGTATAATTCTTAGAATTTATTCCCAATACATCCATATCAACACAAGACCATTGTTGATCCGCACACAAGTTAGACAACTCATTATAGAATACTTCCCCCGGATGCGCATTAAAATCACCTAACATATAGACGGCCTCTACAGAAGTATTATTAACTATGGCACATACCTCACCAAAACACGCCGTAAAATCCTCTAAATTATGCAATGCATCAGTGGGCATATATACACTAAACACTAAAAGAGAACGGTTATTTATTGAGACTCTTATTGCACTTAACCGCGGACTATTGCACTTAATCA